AAGCATCCAATAGGTGGGAAATGCCTGATTAGGCGTCAGCTTGTGAAGGACTCTCCTTCATGGAGTTAGTAATATTTAATCCAATCACCCAACGACCTCTAAAACTGAATAAGTCGGTGCAGCCCAACCGGAAGTGACAGACCGCTTCTTCACCTGCGTAATTCATAATCTACAATCACGTCAGATTGTCGGCACACGAGGAGAGAAAGCGACTGACGACGACCTCGACATTTCGACCCGATAAACGCCCCTCAGGAATGCTGACGGTGTCTGGGCGGGTCTCCGTGTAGATGTGGGTTGCATTTCCGACGTTTCGGAGGCTCTGTGCGTGCCCTGAATTCCTCGCTTTCTCCGCCTGGTCAGTTACCTGGTGACCCACTGACAGGTGGAGACAGAGCGCAGTATTTGAACACAACTTGGCAGAAATGCGCGTGGCCGCTCCTTCACAAATCATAATCTCAACGTCTCCAACAGTTGCCGAATGACCGTCCACCACGTCTCTTAGCAGGGGCGCGATGGGGGGGGGGGTCATGTACACATCGAAAGGGTAATTAATTAAACATTCCAGTGGGGAAACCTCTCGACTGACCTAGGAGGACGTGGAAGATATTTTCAGGCACGAGATGAAATGCTTTCAGCTGGGCTCTTGTGAACCTTCGGGGTTCATAAAAAGAGCGTCAACTCTTCAAGGATCTCTCTACCCCCACGCAGTAAGGAAGGCGCCACTGGTAACCTATGGCATCAGGCATTATTTATCGGCCCCTATACTAGTTGAATGTAATCCATAACCTCACATCCCTTTCCTTCAGGATTCACTTTAATATTATCCCCTAAGCTACGCCTCTGTGGAAATATTTCGGTATTTTCAAATTAAATAACTGGTGATCGCATGTGGAACGTGAGACGGTGAGAACCCGGGCAGAAAGTTCCGCGAACACCAAATTTAAATGATGATAAGTGTGAAGAAAGCCGGTGAAAGTGAAGCGGAGACAAGAATGGACGACGCCTGGACATTTCGCAGACCGCACAGAAATAATTAAGCGAATCGAATAGGCACAATGTCACGAGTACGCGGACGGCATTCGGGACAATCGGCCAATCAGCAATCAGTCGCGCATCTAATTTCACGGCTCGGAAAGCCGTACCCATGGCCGCCCGCTTGTGACTGTCCTCCGGAATCTTCTCACGACTTAAGAAAGGAAAGCAGATGATTACACAATCAGGAAGACGTCTGTACCAACAACGTTCAACCTGCATCGTTATCAATCACACGCCCGAGGCAAGGCCAATCAACATTCCAAAAATACGTCTCCCACCAGACCACAGGGCAAAATCATAATTTACCGTGGTTACGTGAATATTTACCCCGTTCCCCAAAATTAGGGGTTGGGCGTGATGTCCTT